AAACAGAACTAAAGTGGTTGATGGTGCAGAGCATAACATTAGGATCTATTTGGTGAAAAAGTGAAATAGCAATAAGATGAAGGGAAAAGAAGCAAGAGAATTAGGCTTTCCAAATATAGTTAAAGCTCAGTTTCTCAAAATAGGAAGGGCTAGACACTATATGTGATAATTGAAGAAACTGGAGTATTTGAAACACAAAACTGGGGCTTATTTGGTGAGGGAAGTGTTGACCAAGACTGTCCTGAGGTCCTCATCAGCAACTCTGACTTCATTTCCTGGTTCTCCCATCTCCACCTGGTGCTCATTTAAGAACACGGTACTAGATTCTTGAGACCAAGGTGACTTCAACTGGAGACATATGGATTTGTTAAAAAAGAAGGAAGGAAGAAGAGGCAGATGGTGATGAAGAATGGAGAGTGGGTGTAGTGATGGCCTTTGGGGTTCCAAGCTGGGGTGGTCAGAACAGTGGCTAAAACATTCTACCTGCTGAGAAATGCCACTATTTGTGTTACAAAGATGACAATCACAATAGCTATCTTTTCTCTTTTAAGGCTCTATGGTACACTTGGTTCCTTTTCTTCATGATCTTCCACCTTATCACTTTTCTTAGGAAAGGTCTGTTACTCCCACTTTATGCACAAAATAATTCTTGTTCAGAGAGAGCAAATAACTTGTCTGGAGTCATAAGACAGGTACATGCAGACTATGTCTTGCTCCAAGTCAATGGTCTAAAGCAGACCTGTTCACATTTTAGTGAACACAGACAGCATAGGTCAGTTTTTTCCTTGTCTGCCTCTCAGTAGTTTATAACCTTGGACGTTAAACCTGCATTAATCAGAGAGGAATCACTTGCGTCGGCAGACCTAGGTGCCCCTGGTCATGCTGGGCGTAGTTTCACGTGAACAGCAGACTGGCCAGGCACGTCAGAGGAGCATGAGTACAGCTGGCCCTGAGCAGTACCATACCGCCTGCTGCTGCTCCTCTCCCATCAGCATTTGCCCACCTCCAGGGATTGATGTGCTTTTGAAACTCAAAGTTCAGGAAAGCAAAGCTAAGGGCTTACTGGACCTTAGAGAAAGAAGGACTCCAAGCAGAACAGATTATTTATTTTGTTTTGTTGGTTGGAGCTGTTTTTTTTAAAAAAAGCCTCCTAGCCCTGTCAAATGTTCAAGATTGAAATACCATGGGACTTGGAGGCTGAGAAACATGGGAGAATTTCCCAACCTTTTCTTTTTTTTTTTAAACAGTACTGGGGGGTTGAACCCAGGTCCTTGTGCATGCTAGGTAAGCATTGTATTACTGAGCTACATCCCCAGCCAAGTCCTCACTTTTTGGTCCAGTTTCACCATCTGGTAAAAGGACTGGTAAGGTCTCCACTAGAAACTGATTGTGAAGCATGAATTAAATAACATTAATAGTCTAACATAGAATAGATTTTCATGAAATAGGTAAATATGAACACACCTGTGATTTAGAGATCTCCAATTATTGATTATTTTAAAAGGTGATAACTGATGTCATTCAGAATCGTTACTGTCAACACCTTCAACAACTGCCAACTTATTCTTCACTTCCTGCCCCATTCCAGGTATTTCTGGCTTGAATGTGATACAAAATCAATCATCAGGCCATGGAGTTAAGTGTATTCGTGCACCCAGCACAAGGTGTGAGACCAGAAAAAACTTGACTATGTAAGTAAATTTTATGTATCATGGAGTTATACTCACTATAGGATTATTATATTATGAGAAAGAACTTTCATAAAAAGAAGTCCACACCTACACAGTGCAACTTGAAGAATCATAGCTGGAATTTAAAAATACCTTCCCCCATCTGTGATATAGGTATTTCCTTGTTGAATTGCATTCCGATTTGGTGGTTGGGATGGTTTCATAACTCTGAATCAGCAGTCATGATTTTGATTATGGAGAGATGGTTAGTTGAAAAAATCTTTACTGAACTTCTGTGTGTAGAGTGTTTTGGTAGCTGTGGAAACTTCTGGAGAGGATATATTTTGTTGAGAATATAAAATGAGTAAGAGAGACTCGATCTTAGAACACTTCACAACACCAGGGGTGTAAAGGTAGTGTTGGGGTCAAGAATCAAATCATACCAAACCAATGAATACAAAAAGTACTAAGAGGTGGTTATGGTGGTGGCTGTGTTTGTCATTGTTACTGCAGTGTTCATGGATGACTCTGAAGTAACATGAGAGAAAAGACTAAGAAAAGCCTACCTATTCCAGATTTTTACATGGCCAATGCATGCTTCATGCCAGTTGCTTCTGCTCATCTGTAAGACCCAAGAGGGAAGGACCAGCGATGTTTCACCACTGTCTGCCCAACATCCAATCCCATGTCGGGAATACAGCAGGTACCCAATCAATTTTTGTTGAATAAATGGGTTAATAAATATATTAATGCATGAATTTCAATCTCAAAAAAGTCCAGAGTAAATGGCTTATAATTAATATCCTTGTGATCTTTGAAATTATTGACAAGTAGAATATCACCTTTGCTTTTTCTAAAACTAATTTGAGTATTTTCTTGTTTATTATAACTAGGATTTTAAAGCTTTTCTATCATTGTTCATTTGGAACTTCGTGGGAATCCAGATTGCAGCTCCCCTGCAATGTTACACAAGAACCATAGCTCCCCACTCCTCAAAAATATGGTGCTAAAATACGCATAAGATAAAATTTATAGCTTACTCACTTTCAAGTGTCCAGTTCAGTATCATTAAGTATATGCACTTTGTTCTGCCATCAATCTCAAAACTTGTGCAAAACTGAAACTCTATCCATTAAACAACTCTCCATTCCACTCTGCACCCAAATGAAAACCAGCATTCTATTTTCTATCTCTATGAGTCTGGCTACTCTAGGTTCTCCTTGAAATCTTTTTTTTTATATATATATTTATTTTTTAGTTCTCGGCGGACACAACATCTTTGTTGGTATGTGGTGCTGAGGATCGAACCGGGCCGCACGCATGCCAGGTGAGCGCTACCGCTTGAGCCACATCCCCAGCCCTCCTTGAAATCTTAATTGTGTGTTTGTGACTGGCTTAATGCACTTAGCATAATGTCCTGGAGTTTCATTCATGTCATAACATATGTCAGAGTTCCTTCTTTTAAAAATTGAATAATATTCCATTTTGTACGTATGCCACATTTTCTTCATCCATTAAATAGTCAATGGACCCTTGGGCTGCTTCCATGTTTTGGCTATAGTGAATAATGATATGGGGAACATGAATGTACAAATATCTTTTTTAAACCCTGCTTTCAATTATTTTATTAATGTATCAGCTTCATTAAATTAGAATCACATACCATACAATTCACCCATTTTTAAAGGTTTAGAATTGGAGCGTATAGTCTTAAGGCACCATAATGAAGCTCAGGGCAACATGGGAATTGAAGAGTCAGGATTCACCTTCCATTTCTTCATGGCAAATTTTTAGACACACTTCGTTGCTAAGAAATCTGAACTCTATGCATTGTACAAGTAGAGTGCCTGTGTAAATTCTTTATCCAAGATGAGTGAACATGAGAGTACTCATATTCCAGGACTTAGAAATATCACCTTTCTTGATACTGGAGAGTAAAACTGAAGCTTGGAATGGAGAAAGAGTTTTGATGAAAAGGGGCTACATCTACACAAGACAACCGTAGGGATCATGGCTGGAACTTAAAAATATCTTTTTCAATCTGTGATTTGGGTATTTCCTTTTTTTTATAAACTGCTTCAATGTTTGGGATGTTTTCAAGACTCTGAAATCAGCAGTCATTATTCAT